AGGCCTAGAGCTCAGAGTCTCCTGGTTTCTAAGCCAACACCTGTCCCACTACACCAAACTGGCCCTCAATTTCTCAGACAAAACATTACAGTCAAGAGTCAAGGCTGACTCAAAGGTACCCCAAAAATAAAAAAAGAGTGAGTGATAATTAGGTTTATTATCTACATTTTAACAAGTATGAAGTCTAGACGACGCAAATGCACCTTGTGAACTCAGCTCTATTGCTGTCCTTCCGCCACAGCTGACAGAGACAGAGACTGACCTGGCTTCAGCATCCTCGTTATGGATAATGATTAATGCATTTGCTCAATTGTTTTGTTCATCGAGGTCACAGGCATACCAACAAATTGCATCATATTGCAGCGCCGGAATGAACCTTGCCTATCGTTGCTTGATTATATTTTTCTATAAATTAAACTTCATAATGAAGTTTATTAATCATGAACCTGGGTCATCAGAGCATCTGCAGGAAGGGGGCAAGGGGGGAGAGAGGAGTGATGAAAGCAGCACTGCAGCGTTGCAACGCCAGCCCTGCCCCTTTCCTACGTGCGTCCTGAGAAGGCGTGGCCCCTAAATAGGGAGGAGCTCGCACCGTAACACTGCTTTTGTCATTCATCATTAGCCTTCGGTAAACCACAAACAAGCCAGCATGCTGCCGCAGTAATACTGGCTTACCTTACAAATTGTTGTAAGGATGACTGAGGTAATTAAGGTTACATTTCCATTAAGACTACCTGCAATGAAAAAACTTGGTATAGCTCAGTCACTCAGCTCTAGTTTCTCAGACCAGATAGATACTTGACATATAATACTATCATGAGGTATTATCATGAGGATGCATTTATTTTCATAAGTTTTTCTGAGTTGCCTTTTAGCCTAGAATGGGCCTTCAGAGCAATTAGTTTGAAAACGTAAAGCATCATACATACATGGCAAAAAGTTCAGTGGAAAAAGAATATTTTCCTGAAAAATATAATTAAATTCACTTAAAAGCCATGCCCAGGAAAAAAATCGGCAACTTGTCTAAAAAGAAACAAAGAAGGAGCAAGCCAAGATACAGCATCTTCAGGACGGAAGCTATCAGATCTCCTCTGCAAAAATCCAGCCAGCTACTAGATGGCAGCAGCGTTAAGAGTTTTGTGTATCTCTCTGCTGCCATCTTATGACTGCCTGGAGTTTGGCAGCCCAGATCTAGTAGCTCAGTGTTGTCCAAACTTGGCCACTTTAAGATGAGTGGACTTCAACTCCCAGAATTCCCCAGCCAGCATGGCTGGCT